TTTAAATCATTTGATTTGTTTTGTCTATATCCATTTTTAGTCACTTACAATTTACCTGCATTTGAAGAAGCTTTTGTTCTGTGTCCTTCTATATCTTTTATTTTTGTTGATGATCAATGGCTTCCACTTTTGTCTATAAAAAATATCACTGATACAGTCTCTTCCTTAAAATATATTTTCACAGGATATAGAAATGTATGGAAGAAAATGATAAATGTCTTCATTGTGCACTATAAATACATGCTAATGAAAATTAAATGTTTAAGTAGTTCAGATTTTTTCTGGTATTTTATCAAGTTTGACAACTTGGCCCAAATGTTTTTCCAGTATTTTATTCATGTTGTTTGCTTTCTCTGGCTGTGACTGCTGATTTATTAGAATGTATAGTAACCTATTTAAGTAATATCTTTTTAATACTTTGTTTCTCATCCACTGCATGATTTCTGATATTCATTGACCTGTTTGATGTTTCTTGAGGACAAGCATCCCATACTCCCCAGCATCTCTATGCAAATTTGAAGTTGTTTATTTTCTGAGTTTTTGTGTTTTGTAAGGCTTCTCATGAATTTATTTCTCTACAGAAATAGAAAACACTGTCATTTTTATGTCTGTATTAATAGTTAGAATATTGATAATGTTTTAAAGTTCTATTTTCTGATACTATAATTGAGATAGCAGTGGTTCTAGCTAAAGCATTGTTTCTTTACATTTTCTACAGATAATATGGTCTCAACATTTTGTCCCATGTCTCACAGTTCTGTACCATAGTTTTGCCTAAAGTACATTGAAACTGACACACATTTCAATGTATCTTCATTCAGAGAAAGTACTAGCCTCATCCTACTTCTTGGTAAGGATGAGTGTTGATCACCCACTTTCTATCTGCAGTGGAGACTGACTGGGCTCTACCTCCACTTTATTTGTGTGTAGCTTGCCTGAGATAATTTCAGATTCCACTTTCCATTTCTGTCTTTAACTTCTATTTTTTTTAAAAAAGTACATTTAAGTTTAACTTACTGATGTAAACCTGAGTTTGAGGACTAGGCAAGCAATTGCCTGAGATACATTTTTGGGAAAGGACACTTGGAACCCCTGTGAATTCACAGGAGCATCCAAGAGTCTCACTCCAGAGCACAGGAATTATAAGTATACATTGGATTTGTACCAATTTGAATTTGTGTTTAAAGTGAGAGAATTAGTATTGTCTCCATGACTATGATCTATTGTATCCCTCGTATTTGTGTATCAGGGGAACTTAGAGAAAAGTTTTGAGTACAGCTCTCCCCAGATGGCTGTACTCAGCAGAGAATAAAATAAAGTTGAAAGACAGCTGAAATGTTTATGAGGACTCCATACTTCTGTTCTCTCCAGTGGGATCATGTCATCAAACTACTGACACTAAAATTACAGGCTGCTGAGAAATGAGCTAAAGGTAACTTTTGCTTAAACTAGACTTGGTTTTAAGTGTCCCAACCTCCTCCACAAATCCCAGTAGGTAAGTACCTGTGGATTCAAGGGATGTAAGGAGAAGCTGGGTGAGTAAGGTCCTAGGCAGCAAATTGAAGGGGGCCAGCAGGTCTCTTTATGTGGAGTTTGGTGGTCTTACAAGGGGCTTCTGGCGGTAGCCATCAACAGTTCAGAGAATGGTTCATTGTGCAGTGCAGCATGTAAGTATCTTGTTAGAGTGTTTACTGTTTTGATTTAGTGACTCATAAAATTAAAGGGCTTTTCCCATATAAAAAAACTAAATTAATTTTAAGTCTGTATTTTTTTCTGTGAATTAAATGACTGAATTCTCAGAAAGATCTCTAGACTAAAAATTTTAACTTTAACTCTAGACTAAAACGTTTAAGACAAACTTTTCCTATGATTCTTCATCCAATGTTTTTCTGTCATTTCTATAAGGAAATTAAAATTGCAATTAAATAAGTACCACCATACTTCAGTTTATTTAGAAAAATTTAAATTATTGAATATTTAATGATGTTCTTTGCTTGGAGCATCTGTTTTATAAAGGCAGCTTAACCACTTTCCTAGTTACTTTTATTCTGTCATACTGACCTTTGTTGACCTTCTGTTCATTCACAAATTTCAACTTAATTGTATTGGCTCATAATTGTGAACTCCAATTGTTACAAATTTTACTGTCTGTGGACCAGGAAATCTGTGCTGAAATGACATTCACTTTAAAAAAATAAGATGATGACAATGGAAATTTTCCCTGCTTCCTAAAAACAGTCTAAGTATATAATCTACCAGGATTTGGTTAGGAGAATGGCTTTGGTGTCACTTCATATTTTCTGCATGCATATTCATTTTAAAAAGGCCTTTTTTCTTTCATTGATAATTGATATGATAGAAATTCTGTGAGTAGAATAATTTAGAACAATATTTTGAGCTGCCTTGATATCTATATGTGAGTGTTAGATTCTTCTAACACTGATTATTTAAGCATCTATTGTCAATACATAAAAGTAAGCTAACCTTCTTCCCTTGGTAAAAAATTAAAAAGCTTAAATTGATGAATAAAAGCAAAAACCAGGTCCAAGAGTATAATATGGCTTTCATTGCACCTCTTAGTTGAGCAGAAAAACCTTCTCATGCAGAGTAGCTACTATTTCTGTGGAATGACAGCTTTGCCTTTGTGGCAAAAGGCCTCTAACATTTTCCTGGTTTGGTGCTCTGTAACTGTTATTACCTTCTCTTGATTTTTCCCAAAAGACATGGATACATTTTAGCAGTGTAAATACCCATGAATGAACAAGCAACCTGAGCTAAACATGTGTCTTCTAAGTTGTGAAATCAATAAATAATTTTCCCTGTTTGTTTTATTGGGAGGGCCTGCTGCTTTCATATACTCATACAGCCATGAAACTTTGTTCTTTTTTCTCCTGAGAATGGCATATTTCATAAATGCTGTGTACTCTTGCTCAACCATTTAAAGGTGATGACTGTCTTCATTGTAGGTGTCAGTTGTTTTTCTGTTATTCTCTTATTTTTCCAGCTCTGGCTCTGTGAAATGGTGAAGATTTTGATCAGCATAGCCACAAACCTAACAGACTCTCAATTTTTATGGTGACTCACTACCAGGCTCTTTTCTTTTCCCTTCTTTATAGTTAAGCACAATGTTGAAGATAGTGATATGAAGTTGACCTATGGTGGACAGTATAAGAAACCTAAGGTTTCCCTTTTTATATAAAAAGTATAGACAAAAGCCACTTCATCCATGAGGAACATGCTGATTTTGCTCATATTGTAGGTGAGAAAGCACATGTGTCCTCCTTGCTTTCCCTGTGTACCCTGCAAATATTTCAGCCACAATACCAGAGGCACCAAACTTGTGCCATGTTCTGCAAAGGTCTGCCCTCCCATTGGTATCTGATCTTTCCTGCCACTGGCAGGGGTATATAATCTGGCTGTTTTCTCTTTGTTTAGCCATTTGATTATGAAATCTACTACAGGAGAGTCTACGGTCTGGAAATTGCAACAATAGCACAACATTTCAAGTAAATCATTCCTGGATCATGATGTTTACAGTAACCAGGACAGTCTTAAATTCCCCTAGGGGTGTGACAATTTCACTAAGAGTTATGTGAGTTCTCAAATGTGACTTGCCAAAAATAATGCACAAGCTTCTCTTTGATATATATTTCTCTATTTATGTTCAGTTTTTCCCTATGCTCCCTACTAAGCCTCTCCTTTCTCTTTCCCCATGTCTCCTTCTGAATGGTTACCTCCTCTGATTTAGCCATTTATTTATTAATCTGCAGCCTCTCAGAAAATAACTTGTTTCTTCCAGTGTGTTAAATGAAATTTTTGTGCTCATGTTTTAGGTCAGCCAGGAGAATTCTCAGAATCATTAATCCTGAGTGTTACAGGAGGGTGTCCTAGATCATCCTCCTGATGAAGAAAGTTCCTGTCCTATCCCCTGATCTTGTAAACTGTGCTGTGCTAGGTAGGTGGGAGCCAAGTAAGGAAAGACTGGAAGGGGATATGGTAGAGGAGGACTGTTGTCTTGTTTTTATGAAATGTTTACATTCTCCAGATACCTTTTCTTATAATATATTACGTTAATATTACAGGACTCACAATTTAGCTTTCTTTGTACCAGTGGAAAGATGTCTCAAGTTTTTGCATCACTAATACAGAACGTGTGATCCATAATACTATGGACATTTGGATGACTGGTGCTATTTTCTGCCATCTCTCTTAGTGCTCCATGGAGCTAACATGAGAGGATGATTATGACTATCTTAAATTGTGTCACTGTTCTACATTAGTAGAACTTGACCAATTTTACAAGGTTACATAAATGATAGGCAAAACTTGAAATAAACTTTAGCTTGAATTTCAGAGAAATTATACTAAATGACAGTTTGTAATTCATATTTTGATTTATTTCACCTTGTAATTTTAAAATGTATTTAAATGCTTTTAGATACCTATTAATGTTATATCTTTAAACTCTATAATATATGCTTTGTAATTTCTAAACAAAAGTTTAGAAAATATGCATATGTCATTTATTAAATGGAAGGTAAAAACCATTTAAGACTGTATTTGCTACCCTCAAATCTCAAACACATTCAAGTATTAGATTACAGTGTTTCATTGTTTTTTCTGGGCATATCACATGAGCAAACATGCGTTTGCTGAATAAGTGAAAGCAGACGCAGAAAAGTAAGAGAGTAGAACAGACTTTGAAAATAGAAAGACAAAATATGAAAATACATTTTATAATATAACATTTTCAAGGTGGGGCTCCAGTAAGCAGACCCATAGTGCCACTGTGATTGGGAAGTGGTGGGTCAGGGGAAAAAACTCAGCTGTGTGCTTGTGAAGTATGCTTGGATATGTGAGTAAGAAAAGGATACATCAAACTAAAATCACATATTTTGAAGAAGATAAAGTGCTGGTTGAGAAGATGATGGAGATAATTTTTGTGATAAAGAATTTTCTGTGCTTTTTCCCTTAGATATCTACTATTTGCTTCTTTCTCCATGAAGAAGAATGAAATCAGCCAACTTTCCAGGTTTATCTACATACGAAACATATTTCTCTTGGAAGTCATCATTGGGATCATAGCCAACACTGCCCTACTTCTCTCTCATGTTCTCATAATACTTGTGGAGCACAAACTCAAGCTCATTGATCTGACTATTGGTCACTTGGCCCTGATCCATGTAGTAATGCTTCTAACTGTGGCTTTCATAGCCATGGACATTTTTGAGTTTCAGTATTTGGGGGATGACATCACATGTAAATGTGTTATCTATTTGTATAGATTGATGAGGGGTCTTTCCATCTGTACCACCTGCATGCTAAGTGTCCTCCAGGCCATCACCCTCAGCCCCAGAAGCTCCTGTCTGGCAAAGTTCAAACAGAAGTCCCTGCATCAGAATCTGTGTTGTTTTCTATTTTTATGGATCTTCAATATACTCATCAGTGTTCATTTCTTAATCTCCATTATTGCCACTCCCAATATGACCTCACACAGTTTTATGTTTGTCACTCAGTCCTGCTCCCTTTTGCCCAGTAGTTATTTACTCAAATACATATCTATCTCACTTCTGAGTTTACAGCACGTGACCTTTATAGGCTTCATGGCACTTTCAAGTGGGTACATGGTGCTTCTCTTGCATAGGCATAAAAGGCAGTCCCAGCATCTTCACAGCACCAGCCTGTCTCCAAAAGCATCTGCAGAACAAAGGGCCACCCACACTATTTTGTTGCTTATGAGTTTCTTTATCGTTATGTACATTTTGGACAGTGTTTTGTCTACCACCTCTGCAATGCTATGGGATCGTGACCCAATTCGTCATTTTGTTCATATGTTTGTTGGCAATGGATATGCCATAGTTAGTCCTTTGGTACTAAGTAGTACTGCAAAAAGAGTGATCAACTTCATAACACCCATGTAGGGATATTAAATGTTGGTTTATTCCATGATGTTCAGTTTCTTTGATGATGAGCAACTACTCTGAGTTTTCGTTAGGTTATTTGAATACATTTAACTATACTTTTTCCATACATGTCTTCTTTTAATGTGTGCTAGTGAGAAGTATATAGCAGAGAATTTATTTCTTTGGGAAAATGTAGGCTTGTAATTTTAACCATGTTTATAAAAAACAATACTTTCCCTTTGTCATCAAATTCTGAAGACCAGGACATGTATTGCTGATTGTCTGAGAGTAGCCTAAAGAGGAGAAGAGAAAGAAAACATTTCAAACATGCAGATTAAACATTTTACAGCTTACTGTCGTTATAGTTTTATGTGTGTTATGTTAATATTTGTCAGTGTGTATGTTTTCAAATACACTTTTATTTCACAGCTTTATATAAAACTTTGATGAACAATTTAATTACTTTAGTAGCTTATTAAATAGTATGTCTGTGATATATTTCAGAGTCCTGAGAATGCATATAACTTCATTCAAAATTCAAAGCATTAGATTTGTAAAAAAACCCACACATTCCACAATGTAAAATTATTATTGTCTTAATTATTTTTTAAAAATTTTATTTAAGGAGAAAAAAAAGCAGAGAAAGGGTACAAGTTATACAGATTTACAGAAAAAATAAACAGTAGGAAATCACTAGTTAATGGATTACATTTTGTCATCTTAGAAATAATTGTTCAAGTTACAAAATTAAAGCTTATAAAGTGGACATTCCAACAGGGAGACTGCAAACAGTTCTGTTCAATGATCCAACAAAACTCAGTAATATCATTTTCTATCTTATACACTTAAATATATACGCAGTTATATCATTTAGAGCGCTTTCTTTTCCTCTCTTTTGTACAATGACAATTATACATTTTGGGTTTTGTTGCTCCCACAGTTCTTATTACTTTTTTGGAAGAGAGTAGAACCAAAAGTGACATAACAGAACAGTCAGTCAAATCAAAAGGGTGGACGTAATAGATAATGTAAAAGCATAATACTAGGTGATCAACAATGGTTACCATAATGCCTCCTGCTATCTCTAATAGAATTGCCTATTTCATTAGTTATAATAAAATTTGAACAAAACAGTAAAGAACAAAACCAACAAAACCAAAACATTGGAGTCATTATAGGTCTTCAAAAGTAAATAATAGTCAACCAGAATGGGAGTCATAATGAATCCCACTATCTTCACAGCTGTTGCCTAAACTTTTGAACCTGGTACTATCAAGCAAAACAGAATAGAGGAATATCAGTCAAAACAAGATGGTGAGAGCAATATAGGGCTTTAAATAATGGAAAGTCAAAGTGGGTTACTATAATATATCCTGCTATTTTTAAATTTATTTTTCCCTTAATTAAAAGGATAAAAAAGTAAATAATAAAATGGAGATTGAGATAAAAGAGGGCATAAAAGCAAATCAGTACAGATCAAAACATAATCATTTAAGCAAAATAGTGTTTCACCACAAGATAATCCTGACATAAAAGTAGTTACCATATTGTCTCTTTCCTTGAAATCCTTGAGTACAACTTCGTATACTGTAGCATTAAATATATCAAAACAATGTAAAACCATTTAAGAGAATGACAGTATTACAGGGTATTTAGAATCAAATAACAGAAAATGAACAATGGTTTCTGTATAATCTCCTTGTCTATAAAAGGTTTTACTTATACTATCATATATAATAAAATCCAATAAGATACCACCTGTTTAGACCAATGGAGACAGAAGAACAAAAACTTGAAGAGACTTCAAAACAAGATGATACTAAATCAGTATTATCTCTTAAGACATCATTTTCTCCAAAATAGCTGTTCCTATCATCCAATCTTCTCTGCCGCATTTCTGTTGAGCTCTTTTTCTGTCATTAGTTGTCAGTGTGTCTTCTTCATTTTGTTTTCTGCTCCATTCAATGTGGCCTCTCTGCCGCTATTTCTGGATTTTTCGTATTTTCCTTTTTTTTTGGAACATCTTGCAGTATTCTCTGTAGAGTTGAATTCCCCTAGTTCCTCTTTATACTGGAAGCACATTATTTTTCCATCAATTTCCAGGGATAGTTGTGCAGGATATATCAATCTTGGCTGGAGATTATTATCTTTCAAAGCTTGAATTATTTCCCCCCACACTCTTCGTGATTTAATTGTTTTTGCTGAGAAGTCTGCTGTAATTTTGATGGGTGTTCCCTTGTAAATGATCTGTTTCTTGTCTCTGATAGCTTTTAGTATTCTGTTCTTGTATTGGATTTCTGGAATTCTAATTATTATATGCCTGGGTGTTGCTCTGTTTGGGTTGTAGGTGGCTGGGGTCCTGTATGTTTCATACAACTGAGTATCTCTACCTTTTGCTAAATTAGGAAAATTCTCCTGGATTATTTCTGTGAGTAGCTTTTGTAGTTCATTTGCTTGTGTCCCTACTTCTTCTTTTATGTTCTTAATTCTTAAGTTATAGACCCTCTTATCATCTTCTAGTCTTTGTATTATTGCTGTTTGTTTCTTTGTTATTTTTAAGAAGTATTTCATTTCATGCTTCCATATTACAAATCTGCCCTCCAGTTCAGATAATCTGTCCTTAGTTTCTTTCAAGCTGTTATGCCAGTTTTTGATAGACTTTTTAGTTTCCTGGTAGTCTCTTTGAACCTGCTTCATGTATTCTATTCTTTCTCTTTTTTCTCCATTAAACAATTCTCCCCTCTTTTTCTGATCTTCCATTCCACCATCTGTTTTTTCTTGGGTGGTGCTTAGCATTTCTCTGACTATTCTGCTTATGTCTAGCTTCAGGTCATTAATAACTTCATTCCTGAACTTGTCTATGAGGCTCTCCAGATAGCACTTTATGTCAATTGGTGCTGTGTCTGCTGTTGTCTTTTTCTCAGGATTGGGGGCCGAGGACCCTTTCTTGTTGCTGCCTCTTCCCATATTCTTTGTTCCTTATATATGCAAGCGTATATAGGAGGCCCAACTTCCTTCCCTGTCAGCCACAGTCTGATTGAATTGTGCCGGCTAGGTGTTCCCACCCACTGCAGCGCACCAGGAAGTTTCAGACCAGGCAGACTATGCGGGGCCCGCCCCTCCAGGTCAATCTACCTTCAGGCACTGGGACCTGGGCTGTGCTAGCCTACTGGGTCTCAGCCAGCAGCATCACGTGGGCTAAGCACTGCTCACCAGTCCCACTTGAGAGGGGGATACATGACTGAAGTCACTGCAGCGTCCTGTTCCTGCAAGTCTGCCCGGTCCCAGAATGTCCTCTGTTGGAGTCTCCTAGACCGTAGAAGAGTCCCAGTTTTCCGTCACTCACCGGAGGTGGATGTATGGCTCCCCGCTCGTCCCGCTCTCAACTCCGTTCACTGATTCCCATTCTCAGAGCTTCTGCGCATTTCTCTCCCTGCCCAGCTGATGCAGACACAGTGGCTGCGGTGGGAAACCCAAATTGCGGCTTCCAATGGTGCGGGCTCCAGCTTCCACGCTGAGGCTGTATCTGTTCCTGTTATAGCACCAGGATTGCATTCCCTGTTGGTTTCTCTCAGCCCAGTTCGTTCTTGGGTCGCTGGGGCATATCTCCTCTTGCTTATGATTCCTTACTCAGCACCATTCCTGAATTCTAAGCTGGGTGTTTCAGAGAGCCTCCGTAGCTGCTGCAATCTGTCTGCCATGTTCTCCTGGAAGTCCCTTAATTCTTTAGATATAGTTCAATATTATCAGAACATAATAACAGAATGTTATCAAATTTTGTTATCTATTCCTTTACTAAATTTATATACTCTGATCAAAAATACATATGTAACATAAAAAAGGAAGTAGTGATAGAATATCACATACATTCAAATTTCCAATTGTTTATTTTTATGTTAAAAGCAAAAAATTAATAATCATAACTATTCTTGTATCTTTTTTTATGACTTGTGCTTTCAATATCAAGTTTTGGTTTTTTTTCCATTTTCAAAGATTAAATGAAGCTAGTGATGATTTCCTAATGTTAGTTTTTGAAATTCTGCATCATTTATACCCTTTTTTATGTTTTACTTTTTAAAATAAAAATAGATAAATAATCAAAGTAAAATCATTACACTTATTCTCCTTGTTATAGCAGCATGTTAGAAGCAACAGAGAATTTAGTAAGAAGCTACACAAGAACTGGAAAATAAAAACAGACCGTTGTGAAAAAAGGGAACACATGCAGCTGTATCTTACAGATGTCAGTTTCCCACTTCTTTTCTCTCATGTATATTGTTTTTCTCTCATGAATTGACTAGGCATTGGTAACAGAAATCACTACTACTGAGAAAAAGGAAGCACATAATAAGAAAGATCTTCACAGTCTAGAGGGGAACCCCAGAGAGAGCATTCAACTAGAGAAAAGATCTCTAAGCCTGTGTATTAGTATATACCAACTCAAGTGTCTGTATTAACCCAGATTCATATGCACCAGATTTAAATAAATAATTGGGCTTGAACAAACACAAATAAAAGATGAAAAAGAAGCAACTATGTGAAACAAATAATGCAGAGTGCCTTCTGAAACAAAAACATTCTCCTAACTATTGGGGAAGTACTAACAACACAATATAATACACAGTCCTAAGAAGTGAATTCAAATCCCCCAGTGTAGAAGATTCGACATGGCTACACAAAGGAGGAGCCATGTTGGAGTTACTCAGAGAAAATCAACTAAAAGCACAAGTAATTGCAAGAAATGGAGGGACACACATCTTGATGCCAAAATCAATCAGAAGTAAGATATTTGTAGATCAAATAAAACACAGGCAGTCATTGGCAGTTATAAAATGGCAGACAGTCCACAGGGCTGCTAGTGTGATTACCAACTGCATGTGAAGCAGGAATTGCCATTCTGGAAAATTAAAAAAAAATACTGGTGGAATGCAATAGTGTGGCTGACTTAAATTACACAGCACAGATTTGGAATACAAGGCCTCTTGCCACTTTTGCTTTCCACCACACAGGGAACACTG